TTTTAATCAATTCCAAACTCGATTAACTTTGGCGATCTTGGGTTCGAAATCAAATTCAACGTGGGTTTTCGTAGTTAACGCTACGTGGGTTGGCATCATTTGGTATCAGAGCTTGGCTCCGACAAAATCAAGGTTATATCTTTTAAATTCTGCGTTTGAGTCTTATTCTTCATTAATTCCAGTTGTTCTTCACGTTTTTCATATTCCGAGTCTTTGATCCGTTTTTCTTCCGTCAAAATTTCAAAAGGCGTTTTTGGGCTCAGTTGGTGTCCAAATCAACTTTCGTTTTCTTTGCCGGATTTGTAGTTGAATTTCCGAGTAAAAAAAATACTGTTCATCCGTACAGTTAAAAAAAAATTCATAATATTCAGCAGTCAGTGAGAAATTCCAAAGAGTTCAAAAGAAAAAAAAAATAAGTATACTATCATTGTTACTTGTCTTGGAAATTCCCGGCCACTTCATTATTACTATTGATTCACTTCAGGAACCACTTTCTTGAAGTCAAAAACACCTTCCAAATTATTCAATTCAAGTTTTTCGAGTCTTAAAATTTTCAAAATCTTACTCAAATCCCGGTTTGAATTCTACGAGAATAATTCCTGGTTGAGTTCTATTTTGTCCTTTGAAAGTATTTGAGTGGAACCTTTGAGTGGAAAAAGGCAGAGTGGAGAGAACAATAGAGGGAAAAAGCCAAATTTGAGTTATACACGAGAGAAAATTTTTGTGAGGCAGAAAAAAAATTATTAGAATTTTTTTTAGGATGTCTGATAAAGAAACAGCAACAACAATCAAGCCAATATGTCAGATGAGATGATTCGAAGGTTTGAACGGTTGTTCGAGGATGTAAGGGATATGTTTGATTGGCAGGATACAGAGGTTGCCAATTTGCGTAGGGGAGTCCCACATGCAAAGAGGCAGGGTCAGCGGGAAAATAGGCCGAAGAATTGGGGTGAACTTGGATATGGGAGTGACATGGATGACGAGGCGATAGGAGATGCTGAAATTGGTAGGATGAGGGATAGAGGAGCTAGGTTTGAACGAAGGGGTAGAAACTTGGTTGTAGATGAAGTAGATGGTAACATGGGCAACATCAAAATGTCCATTCCACCGTTTAAGCGAAGGAGTGATCCGGAGGCATATTTGGAGTGGAAGAAGAAGGTTGAATTAATCTTTGACTACCACAATTATTTGGAGGAAAAGAAGGTGAGGATAGCAGTCCTTGAGTTTACTGAATATGCTGTTACTTGGTGGG